AATGCTGCTTGAACAGCGCATAGTACGCGTGTCCCGCGCCCCCCATCCCCTCCACCATCTCCCTCGCAAGCTTCATAAGCGGCGCGAAGGGCTTCGGGTCCCGACCCAGAATGTACCCGAAATCAGCGTGGAAGAAATGCCCACTCGGCGCCAGGAGCAGGTTGTCCAAATGTCGGTCTCCGACGCCGAGGAGATATGTGATGACGCAGTAGCCGGCGCAGGACTTGACGTACGTCTCCATGACCTCCTTCCTTACGCCGAGCGGGGCCGATTCATCCGGATTGTGGTGCTTGAGGTATGCGAGGAGGGTTTTGTGCTTGGTGAGTGCGGCGGAGAGGGAGGCGCTGGGCACGAATTGCATAGCGCCCGCATGGGGCGCGGTGGCGAGGACGCGGAAGGGCGTGAGCTTTAGATCCAGATTCTCTTTGCGCAGGAGCCGGTCCATCAGCGTTATGATCTGGATCACGAGCTGGTCCTGCCGTAAGTCGTCGCCGGTTTTGAATATCACGGGGTATGTGCGCCCCGTGCTGGTTTTGAAGTTTAGAAGAAGGGGCAGGAGGGAGGATTTGAAGACGTTGGCTTCGTCGGGGGTTATGCCCGTGATTTGGACGCTGGGGTCGAGGGGGAGGGGGAGGGGGTCGAAGGAGAGGAGTTCGTTTTTGGGCTCAGCGATGAAGCGCTTCAAACGCTCGATTTTGCGGGGTCGGTCTTCGCGTGAGGTTGCGATGTCGCGGGATAGCTTGGTTAGCACGGCGACGAGCTCGCCCTGGCGCAGGAGGGTTTTGCGGTACTCCGGCCCGCCGGGTTGGCGCTCTAGCTCAGCCATGAAGTCGAATTCCACCTTCGCGAAGAGCTTGCGCGACGCCGGGTCCTGCTGCGGCGTGCGGTCGTCGCATTCCACCATCAGATACCAGTGCAGATAGTTCCCGAGGGTGAAGTTAGCGGCCGCCCTTTTGATGAGGAAGGTGGCGAGCGAGGAGTCCGTCGCAGCGGGGTCTTCATCCGGCGGACGTTCGAATTTGAGTGCTTGTACTAGTTGTAATAGGTAGAGCAGCAACTCGTCGTCATCCGACTTGTGCAAGCGCTGGACGGCGAAGGCCCGCACGGCGGGGTTGTTAAACGTGGGGCCGAGGAGCTCGAGGGCATCGTCGACGTCGATTTCGGTCCATTTGGCGAGGACTTGCACGGCCTGTCGGGCTTCGCTCTGGTCGGACCAGGAGACGGATCGGACGAACTTGGTGAGGGCGTGTTTGTCGCGGGTGAGGTAGTGGCGGAATTTCCAGATGAGGTCTTTCTCTTCTGGATTGAGTTCGTGGAGGGGGCCGTACGAGACGAGGAGCTGAAGACATTAGATACGAATGGCCAAAAATGAGATGCACAGCTAGCTTACGTTTAATTCATCGCGGATCTTCGCGTTGGGCTTCAGGTCTCGGTCCAGCACGCCGGTACGGTGGCTGCGGACAAGCCGGCGGTGCTTGTTCTCGGCGGGGTTGTCCCGCATGCCGACTTCGGGGTCGTAGATGCGGACCAATCGACCGATGCTGGCGTCCCCGTAGCCTTCGCCTATTCCGGGACCAAAGGAAACTTCTGGCGGCGGCTTTAATCGCACATCAGACGACGACGCTGTAGCGACGGATGAGAGGGGAGGTGCCGGGTATTCATGGTCAGTGAAGACGATGGGATGGTCGAAGCGCGGGAATTCAATATATAGGTAGAAAATACCATCGTCCGCCTCATTGTTGGTTGCCTCGTTGTCCCCACCACCGTTTGCCCCGTTCTCGGCTGGGAACAGCACCTTGTTCTTGAAACTTCCGCGCTGAAGCTTCTCGATTTGGCGGAACACCAGCTGGTCGAGCCACTTGTTCTCCGGGATTTCGCCCATCTCATGCTTCTTCATTAACGTCTCAAGCCGCTCCATCTCAGCAGCGCGCGCATCGAGCTGCTCGGTGATCGACTTGCTACCGCGCTGCTTCTTGGCAGAGATAACGTGAGGCGTCGTGGAAGAAGACAGCCCATCGGCGGCGCGATGGCGATGCAGCCGACATCTCTGTCTACCTTTGTGGAGGGTGTTGTCTTTGTCAAACAGTGGGATGGTAGTGCCGCCAAACGGGACGGCATGGAAGTGAGAACCCTCGCCGCCGGCGGGTGACAGGTCCCACACGGTAAGCGCGAGCAGTGAGTCGAGCGGGACATTTGCGTAGTTGATGGGCAGAGTCAGCCACTCGCCCCACGTACGCGAGTTTTTGAAGACCTTGTAGGCCGTTTGGACGGGTACGGTCAAGGGCTTGCTGTCTGCCCAGAGGCGTGCCGTGACATAGAGCTCCGAGTGCGGACTACATGGTTAGAATAGACATCGAATGATTTCTGGGCGGTACCTTTGGTTGGAGCCCTTGTATCGCAATTCAGGATGCTCTATTAAGGTTGAGAAAGGGATGGGCTTTTGGAAGCCGTCAAGAGAGTTGCTTTATAGTCAGCCGAGCTACGCATGACAAAGCTGAGGGATGGACAAACATCTTGACACTCACGGGGATTTTGAGGGCCGAGGAGCTGGCAAACGAGAAGGATTCCATCTTATTTGCTATCTAGACATGACAAAAGACCAACAACGGTGAGAAACAGAGAGGAGTCGAGACATATATGAGTTGAGATTGAGGTTGACTTGGCCTTGTGATGTCTCGTGCTGCCTCAGGCCGTCCCAGCCGTTTAGAGCTGACGGCTTGGAACATTCTTGGCAGGTAGGTGAGTCAGCAAACGCGACAGCACGTGACAGACGCGAGAACTTGGCGAAGCTGACTCCTTGACCTTGTCTTCTCGCAAAGCATGAGCCACGGCTCCGCCTCTATCGTGCTTGCTTCGTCTCATTCTCGCCGTCGCTGCCTTTTTCACTGCCCACGACGTCACAGCCAGTCGCTCCTACCGCTTTATCCTGAGCTAGATGCGACTTCCTTTAACTCCCATTGACCCTTCCCACTTTGCCCACCTCCTCATTCGTCCCTTCCTTTGTCTGGCCCTCCCCTTTCCGCTTACATCATCGGCCCAAGAACGTCGTTTCCCTCCGGAGCTTCACACACCTTCCGTCTCGTCTCCCCACCCCCCTCCCTCGCGCCTTCCCGTCCCAACAACAAGGACCCCGTTTACATCTCATCTCATCAGAGATAAGCCATCATGGCTCGGGCAAACGTCGGGGCACCTGCCTCGCGAAGCACCACTGGTGAACTGTACCGCGACCGCACCCCGACTTCGTCACCTGGCGCGCCGTTTTCGTCCGACAAGGAAAATAGACCCCACTCGCGCCCGCGCACTAGCAAAGCTATGGGCAAGCAGCGCAAACTCGCGACCCCGAGCTCGAACGAGTCGGGCTCGCCGCACGGTGCTAAGCGGCGTCGCACCAGCAACTCCAACGCGAAGGGCACCGAGGAAATGGATGATCTAGGGAAAAAATACTACGATCCTGAGCAAGATCCGGAGGTGCGGCGCAAGCTACGCCTTGCTCTGCGCCAGAATGACCGCGAGATTACTGGTATGTGTTTCTCGGGCCTAAAAGGACGCGACTGACGAGCAGATACCCGCGATGATCTTATCAACGGCGACAGCCGTAACCTCGTCAGCCTCATCAAAAAGCAAAATCACTTGATGAACGAGGTGCGGCAGACGTCCGATGCAACGATAGACTCTCGCTTCCTCGTGCGTGCATCCGACATCGCGCTCAAGCGGGCCGAGCGCCTGGCATATGGTGACGGGTCCATCGGGATTGACGTTGACGAATTCGTCTCCAAGTGCATTACGTTCATGCGGCATGGGAACTCGGGGCACGGAAACTCAGATGCAGCCCCAACCCAGTCCACGCAGTCCCGCCGTCGCCGCACTCAAGCCGCTGACGAGGATGACGAGGATGCCGGTGATGCGTTGGCGTGGGACGTACTCGGTGCTAGCGCCTGCTTCCCGAACAACAAGCGTCCTGGCCTGCCCGCTTTCCTGCTCGGCCCTATGTCGGTGCAGAAGCGCGTGCGCGCCGCCACGCAGCGCACGCAGCGCTCCCAGGCCGCCGCTGTCACAAAACCGCAGGAGTTGAAGGCTGCTGATCTGGAGAAAAGCGAGACTACGAATCTAACGGTCCAATGCAAGAAGATCCGGTCACTCCTGGGGAATGTGATTGAAAAGGGCATGGCTGGCGTCGAGCAGGAAGCCAGCGAAGACATGGACGAGGAAGAGGCACGGTCTGTTTTCCGCCGCAATCACCTCGCTATGAATTACGAAGTGTCGCTCTTCGAATTTGCCGTGAACCCGCGCAGCTTCGGGCAGACGGTTGAGAATCTGTTTTATATCAGTTTCTTGATCAAGGACGGGTATTTCAAGCTGAGCATGGACGACGACGGGCTGCCCACGCTTCGTAAGTCTTTTCAATATTTTTACGGAGACTAGGCTGACAGGACTAGGGCCTAGCGAACCGCGCAAGGCAGGCGATGGAGGTGAAGGAGGCGACGGGGCCGCGAAACACCAAGCAATCTTCAGCGTCAACTACGGAACCTGGCAGAAACTGATACGCGCGCTCGACATCCAGGTATCTCTGATCCCGCATCGGGCGTCCGAGGGAACCGCAATGAACAGCCACGGATGGTACGGTTAGGCGTAGGAATCGTGACGAACGGGGATGCTGTGCCCGAGGCGAAGAAGGTGTGGGAGATAGCGTCCTGGCATTTGTGTTAGATGTTTGAGCATGTCAACGGTGTAATGGCGGCGTTTTGCGTTCCGGGGCGTTATGGTCCGGTGTACGAGGCGCGATTCTCGCTCTAGCGGTGTTGTTATTGTACGGAATGTTAGATTTCTGCGGTAGTGCTGGTGGTCGGGATACCGGCTATTTCTATTCCTATTCCAACCCTTGGTGCATATTTTCAACTGAGCGGCTTTGCAGGACCGAAGGACATGTGCGTATGGTGAAGCGAACACGACGTCTAACCGGCTAAGCAAATACGAGTTTCAGCGCTAACAAGCATCGAATAGGCAACGTGGCGGAGTGGTTAACGCGCTGCCCTGCTATATCCGATCCCTTCCCGTTCGGCTTGTAAGGCAGTTCCTTCGGGAGCGTAGGTTCGAATCCTGCCGTTGTCGATACTTCTTTTTGTCTTTTTGACCGGAGTATGAGTGCCGGGGGTAGGTGTACAGGGGTTTGTGATGTAGACACGCACGGCATGGAAGGAGCATTGCTATGTCAGGAAGGGGCATACTTATCTAAGGAAGGCACATGATGTAATGTGCTCATGGCTAAGGCAAGGAGCATTGAAGGGCACCGTGTATATATTCCGAGACTCTCTGACTCTCTGACTCTCTTTGGCTTCTACTTCAGTCTTCACTTTGCACAGTTGCCGTTGCACATGATAGAGCATTTGCTCCCGTCAGTTTGGGCCTCACATTTTTTGTAGGTACTTTTCACATTGCATGCAGACGAAAGCAGACAGCCTCTTTCGAAGACGATGAATTGCTGTGATGTTGTTTTAGGATTAGTGTGAGTCCGCTGGGTTAGCATCTCCTATTATGTGCATCCCCTCTACCGCATCGTTACTACAACCGGTGGTCCGTCGGTCGCCGAGAAAATGGGAACTTAGATCAGCACCCAGTCCTTTGTAAGGTCCCAACGACTGGAACTAATAGTAGTAGTTTTAGGGAATATATCCCTTTCCCAGACCAACCCACCTCCTTTTACCCCAGAGCACCGCGTGAACAGCACCACCTCCTGCACTGGGCACTTACACTTGCACCTGCACCACCTACCAAAATGGTCGGACGCGCAAGTAAATGGACCATCCTTAGTCCATATACTCGAGCAGTGCATGCACCACCAGCCCCTGATGCGGTACCACTCGCGGCTAGCGAGTTTATTGGCATGCATGTAGTAGGGGTGGAACATGCGCTGCCGCGCGTGCCTCGCGCACACTACTCCGCCCGGAATCTCGACCATCGCGCCCGCCTCTTCGTTGACGAAGAAGGGCAGCAACAGGGGCGCGCCCGGGAGGAGCGGGGCCAGCAAAGGCCGGTGCATTTGGCACAGAAAGCACCACCGCGTTGTGCGGGGTGTCCGGCCGAAGGCGCCCCAGATGGTTTCATAGATTTTCATGCCGCACCACGTGAATAGGCGGAGAGCGGGGGTGGGGGAGATCCGGATGTATAGCGTCTGGGAGGAGAGGGCGAGGACTAGGCGGTTGTGGTCCGCCAGCTGGGAGAGGATCAGGTTCATGATCTCTCCTGGGACCCGGAGGATCCCTGGGACGTCCGGGTCCCTGGCCGTAATGGGCCGATAGGTATAGCGGCCATCCGTGGGCTCGGGACCCGTGGGCGTTGTTGAGCCATCTGAACTGCCGTCGTACGACATGCTGCTCGCTCTGCTCTTGAATATGTATCAGCTCTGTAAGTTATAAGTTGAACTCAAGAACCGGAGAATCTGAATATCAGGGACTGAGAACCCGGAATTGGAAGCTCAGTGCTAGAAGTTCAGATCTCGAGGTGTGGGCGACGAACTGAAGAGACGCGGGGCGCATGGCATTTAAGGCCTTTGGACAGCGCCATGAGTGAGGGGATTTCATAGACAGTGAGCCCATCTGTCCTCAGACTGCGAGGTCGTGATGCCCATCTCCAGCCAGCGAGTGAGCCCGGGAGTGAGGCCGTGAACCGCATCTCACACCGATGTGAGTCCTGGGTGGGTGGATGTGAGCAGCCAGCATTATACATAGCCATTACTCTCAGCGGCCCAACCGTGAGCGTCTAGCCATCCTACGATGCAAACCTAGGTCAGCCATTGATCTACGGTATGATACGTGAGAGTTGCTTACCTGAGCCCAGTTGACTGTGGACGCTCCACATTAACCACCAAAAGCCGAAGAACGCCTCGTCCTATATTTCCCACCCACAGGCCGTACATGAACGGCGTTTGTACAGAAGCGTAATACGAGTATAGAGTTCCTTGCGGCAGTCTGCACGTTCGGTTGGTCGCTTGATGACCTTAGTATATAAGTTCGATCTGCCGGTGTCTTACCGATCTTTAAGCTCAGTCAAGAAGTCGGAGAGCATTGCCGTATGAATACTTCATCAGCCGCGAGCTTAAGACAGTGTCAGGCAGGAGGCCCTCTGAGGTTGTCTAGCATCTGACAGTTGAGTGTTTCAAGCTTTCCTGGTCAGACAAGGTTAGTCACGATAGGATAGAATAATGAATATCCACAAAGGACCGCCCCGGGGGGGGTTTCTACTGCGAGCTAGATCTGACATCAAGGTTGCTTTTTTCTAGCAGGGTGTCTTTGGCGAGATCTCCTAGAACGGTTCGAGGTCGTCAAGCTGGGTTGAAAGTGGCAGCGACATCAAGACTGCGCTGAGTGAAGTGTAACGACGAAAATTAAACGCGGAGGTGCGGTTGTGCGTCGGGTGTCTTGAGGCTCAGCTGCAGGGTGACGTTGACATGGAAGGAGCATGGTTGTGCCAGGAAGGAGCAAAGGAGGATACTTGGCATCGCGTATTTGACTCTCTTCCTCTCTTCCTCGCTTCGTCTTTACTTCAATCATCAGGAATACAGTTGGGTTTCGGGGCTTTGTGTGCGATGAGGGTGACAGGAGGGATTGGTCTGCGATGTGGACGGCGATTTTGGGTTGGGGTTGTGATGGCGGAGCGAGGGAAGGTGGTGGAGTTGAGGTGAGTGAGAGCTATGCCGGGAAGTCGAGGTCGGCCCGGTTAACGCGGCTGCGGCTGCGGCTATTTGGTACCCACCGTACCATACCCGAAATGTCGTCATGGCCGGCAGGGTCGGCAGGGTCATCGCCCCTCTCTGCCCCTTCATTCCCGTCGGGCTCTCCATAGCCACATGCTCGACATGCGGCTGATGGCTCAGTTCGGCTGGCCGACATACGTTATGGTAACCGACCCCCACCTATCCATCCCCTAACCCAAGCCAGCCATGCCGAATGGCACCACAGTTGCCAAGCCAACGCGCTGCGTAGTCGGAGCGAGCCCATCTTCGCCATGGAAAACGCGCCGCATCCGCTGATAACCGGGTATTTACTTGTCGACAGTGCCGCATTAACAAGGGCTCATATATGCTGAGTATCTGGGCGGCGCATGTGATGCTGTCCCCTCGTCTGCCCCGCGCTGCACGTGGGGAGTGCAGGTGCGCGGGGTTACAGCGCCGCGCTCCATCGCTCGGACGGAGGGATGCGGGGCGGGACGGGGTGTGAGCAGACTTGGGTGCCGAAGGGGGGGGGCTGCTTTCATATGCGCCGTTTCTAAGTGGGGGAGAGAGCCGGGGTGCGGTGCAGGACGCGGGAACGTCCGCGGGCGCCGCGCTCTGCGGTGGATTGCAGCGTGAAGAAAGGAGAGCCGCAATGCTTAATGGGGGTGTTATAGGCGGGGATTTGGAGTGGGGGATTGTTGCTGCTGCTGCTACTGTGGGTTGCTTGGAGGTTGAGTTGCTTGATGAGAGTGATAACTGCAGACAAGCGGGGCAACGTGTCGGGTTCGCAGCAAAAAGTAAATTTGGTGCTATGGCGCCAATGGTGTTGACGGTGGGGGGCAAAGCGGGGCATTGACGGTGTGGGTGGTGGGTGGTGATAGGGAGGGGATGCGAGAGAGAGGGGAGAATGAGGTGATAGTTGAGGGGACGAGTGAGGGGATGCATTGACGATGATGAGGGGGTTATGGTCAGCGGTAATGGATGGACGGTGAGCGCAGATTGATGGAGGGATGGATGGAAATGATGCTGTCGTTGTTGTTTCTGCTGCCAGCTGATTTCTCCCATTCCTTTCCCGCTTCTTTTCGTTGTGCTTGTCGGTGATCTCTGTCTGTGATCTCTATCAGTGATCTTAATCGACACAGTTGCTTACAACCCGCGATAAAACCCCCATTCTAAGTGATCCTATCCATCAATATCCTCGTCCATTAGAGTATCCAAGGAAGTGGTTTACGTCCCAGCATCCACATCTGCATCCACGTCCGTCATCCATCATCCCCCGTCCAAGAGGTGGTTTACATCCCAGCATCCGGCCGGAGATTGCCTCGACACTAAAAAGAGAGAGTGCAAAGCGTACATTGGTGAATTGAAGACAAAGGAGCAAGCAAGAGAGAAAAGGCAGGCAAGACAGGACACTTCTTACGCGAAGTGGCCAAGTACTACGTAAAGACATAGGCCAAGTGTTCCGTCAAGAAGAGGTTGAGCGACAGCGTGAATGAGGACATCGGTCCGTGCGCTTCGTGTGGTGTCGGGAGTGACAGACGAGCCTTTTTTTTCTTCTTTCTTCTCTTTTTCTTCCTCACCTCTCTCTCACTTCCGTCCTCTTTTCTCTCTTCTCCTTCTTCCGCATCGTCTTCTTCAATCTCGGCCACTCCCGACTCCGTCCACTAAACTCTACCCTCTCCTCAACTTCGCCGTCGTTTACCCGTCCCGTCCCATCCCGTTCTCCCTCCCCTCCCTCCTCCCTCTTCTTCCTCCTACGTATCCTCATCAACAACACGCCCTCACATTTGGCCTGGAGTCTTCTCAATCTCCAGCGAATCCTCTCAACCGCCTTCTCAACAACCCTCGTCAACCCCCAACCCCTTCCCCTCTACATCCACACCCGCGGCCGTTGCCATCATCTCTCAATCCTGTAAACAAACTTTCCCTCCCCTTCACCTCTCACCTCCTGCAACAACCTCGCAATCAATTCGCACTCCCATCTCATCTCTGCACATAACCCAACATCTCCCATACTCAATATCTTCAATCACTGCAACTCTATCCGGGCCGCAGCGTCCCGGTCTTCATCGTCCCCTGTGCAACCCGCTCCCTCGGTAAGTTGTTTCTGGAACCCTCGCCGCGCCCGCACTCCACCCCAATCCCTCCCCTCTCATCATCTCCCCCCCAGACAAGACAACCCCCGACCCGCCAAAAATATTTTCACCTTTCCTCCTTCCCCCCTCCCTCCTCCCACCCCCCACCTTCAGCATTCCCGCATCGCCGCCATCGAGGCGGCTATTCGTTTATTTCTTTTGCGTCTCTGCATCGTCGATTCGTCAGCTAATCAGTCGGGACAAAAGTTGCCCCACCCGCTCCTTTCATCGTCAACCGGCTTCGTGTCCGCGACCTCGACAATGTC